TGCCATCAGGAATTGCCATTTTGTGGCGATTCTTCTTGGCATTGACTCCATGAGATGTTGAAAGGTGATACGAGGAATCTGACACCATGCCTGATGAATAGCACTGCCCAGTTCTGTGATGGTTGTGGAACCAGCTGCCTGATGGCTCTTTTAACTTCGTCCCACAAATATATATATATGTATACATAACACACACACATACACACACACACACACACGCACACTAGAGGCCTGGTGCGTTAATATGTGCATGGGTCAGGTCCCTCGGCCTGGCCGGTGATCAGGGCTGATTGGGGCCAACTCACCAAGTCCTGATTGTGACCGGGCCAATCAGGGCCTGCCAGTCGGGGGGCGGGGGGGGGCGAGGGGTCATGAGAGGTTGGCTGGCCAGAGGGGAGGAACTGTGGGAGGTTGGCCGGCCATAGGAGATTGGCTGTGGGAGCACAATGACCACCAGGGGGACAACTCCTGTGTTGAGCGTCTGCCCCCTGGTGGTCAGTGCACATCATAGCTACTGGTTGTTCTGTCGTAATTGTTGCTTAGGCTTTTATATATATAGATATGGTATCTGCCATATTAAGTAGAAAATAGCCTACTGAATTTGAAATAGGATTTATTTGTATTTGGAGGTTTTGTATAAAAAGAATCTGAACATTATTTTTGAAGTTGTACTGAATTCTAGTTGGAAAAATGTTTTCTTTTATTGTAAATTTTTTTATTATAGATGAAACTTCTTGAACTATAAAAACAATCAAATTATACCAAATATACTTTTTAGGAAGAACATATACTTTTCAACTATAGTATATAGGAAATTCTTACAAATGGAGAATTTTATGTGACTAGATTGAATTTTAAAACTACGTTGGATATTTGCTTCTTTGCAAAGCTATATAGTACATGTAGAAACAAAAAATTAAGTTTTTTTCAAAGACAATAGAAAACCTTAAAAGTCACAGTGATGCTTATTATAATTACTAGAGGCCTGGTGCACAAAAATTTGTGCACTTATGGGCGGGGGTCCCTTAGCCCAGCCTGTGCCCTTTTGTAATCTGGGACCCCTCAGGGGATGACCCCTCAGGTGCTGGCTTAGGCCTGCTCCTCGGGGGATTGGGCCTAAGCTGGCAATCAGACATCCCTCTGGCAGCCAGGCAGCCCTTGGGGGATGTCCACTTGCCAGCGGGTAGCAGACCTAAGCTGCAGTTGGACATCCTTAGCGCTGCTGAGGGGGCAGGAGAGGCTCCCACCACCACTGCTGTACTGGCAGCCATCCGCCTGGCTTGTGGCTGAGCAAAGCTCTCCCATGAGGGGCTGATGGCTGTTTTCAGGCTGCCCACACCCCCTTCAGAGTGGGGGTCCCCACTGGGGTGCCTGGCCAGCCTGGCTGAGGGGCTGAGGGCTGTTTTCAGGCTGGCCAAGCCGGGGACAGAAGTTCCCAGCCTCTCCTTTTTTTCTTTTCTTTTTTTATTCTGGGACTTATTTACCTTCTATAATTGAAACTTTGTTGCCGCTCCAGCTCTGAGGCCAGGGCCTGCTGAAAGCAGGTATCTAGAGTTTGTTTAGCTTCTATAATTGCCACTTTGTTGCTTTTGGAGCTGTTGCTTTTGGAGCTCAGAGCCGCGCCACAGCAGGGATGAAGCTTGGCTTCCTCCATCACTGGAGCAAGCAAGCCTCCTGCTCATTTCAGCTGCGTGGCTACCGGCCGCCATCTAGGTTGGGTTAATTTGCATATCCTGCTGAGTAGCCAATGGAAGTGTAGCGGAGGTATGGTCAATTACCATGTTTGTCTATTATTAGATTAGATTCCTTTCTATTGGTATATGCATATTCCTTGAGCTAGTCATCCTGATTAATCCCTATGCAAAGTTACCTGTTTCTTCCATTTCAGCATTCTTATTCTTCCTGATTGAAGTATGTGCAGTTGAACTTCCTTGTATTTCTAGGTTATATAGATATAAATAACTCTTCAAGCAGTGAAAAATTCAGTAAATTAGTTTGCTGTTTTTCCTTCACAAAAATTCCTAAGTTAAATAAATCACTTGCTAAATTTGTCTTCTTTTTATTCCAGGGTGCTTTGGTCAGTGCAGGTTCAGATGATACACTTCATTTGTGGAACCTTAGACAAAAAAGACCAGCTATTCTTCATTCCCTTAAATTTAATCGAGAACGGTAAGAATGTGTGAGTTAAACAATTTAGTAATGTACAATAAAATTATTTCCTGAACAAATTATAGGTTAACTTTTCAAAGATCTTCTTTCATAATCTTAATAGCTAGAAATAACCTAATGTTTATGATTACTTTATAATAGTTCATTTTCATATAAAATTCATAGGTCATATAGATTTAGTCATCTACTAATGGATAACTTCTAATATTTTTGTTCTCCTTGCTAAAAAACCAGGGATCTGGAAAGGGACCTGAGGCTGTTAAGCCACAAGGTGTACCTAAAAGTTAAAAAACAAAACCTTTTTTTCTTTTAAATGTCTAAAGAGCACAAAATTGATCCTTCTTTTTTTACTGCTGCATGGTATTCCATGGTGTAAATGTACCACAGCTTTTTTATCCCCTTATCTATGATGGGCACTTAGGCTGTTTCTAGAGCTTAGTACTTGTAAATTGTGCTGCTGTGAACAAAGTGGTGCATACATCCTTTCTGATTGGTGTTTCAGGTTTCTTGGGATATATTCCTAGAAGTGGGATCACTGGGTCAAATGGAAGTTCCATATTTAATTTTTTGAGGGAATTCCATACTGTTTTCCATAATGAATGCATCAGTCTGCCATTATGTCTGTCAGCAGTGTACTAGGTTTCCGTTTTCTCCATATCCTAACCAACCCTTATCATCTGTTGATTTGTTGACAGGTGTGAGGTGATACCTCATTGTTTTTGCTAAGCAACATAAGCCAGTCAGAGAAAGAGAAAGACAAGTATCACATGATCTCACTCATAGGTGGAATCTAATAAAATAAACTGTTTAACAAAATAGATCCAGAGACATAGAATCATGGAACAGATTGTTGAACCTCAGAGGAAAGGCGGGGTGGATGGGTGGGAAGAGATCAATCAAAGAACTTGTGAGCTTGTATGCATAACCCATGGACACAGAGATTAGGGTAGTGGAGGCCTAGGATGGAGGTCGTGGGGAGGCAAGCTAAAACAAAATAAAAAAAATATATCCGCAGGTGAGAATTGAAAAAGAAAAAGCACAAAATTGAAAATAATACAAATCTATTATAAGCGCTTCTCACCTGTGGGGGGGAAATGTACAAACTTGAATTTTCTTCCAATAGCTTGGTCTTGTGCTCAGAAAACATAAAGACTTATTATGAAACTCCAACCCGTAGTCTGCAGATAGAGAAAGGGTGTCACTTGGACCTACCAGCCAGTGCTTAATTATCTCAATTGAGGTGGATTTAATTGGAAGTAACAAAAATGCAAGCTGACAGATTTTGGAAAAATTTAAATCATAGGAATTTTGTATGTGTTGCCTATTTCAATGCTTATAAAAATATGATATATATCTTTTTAAAAAAGAAATGCATTATCTTAAATTTGAGAATAAACATTGACGGGTGACGGCCGGTTGACCCGGTCTAATTAGCATATTATCCTTTTATTAGTATAGACTAGAGGCCCAGTGCACAAAAATTTGTGCACTTGGGTGGGTCCCTCAGCCCAGCCTGTGCCCTCTTGCAGTTTGGGGCCCCTCGGGGGCCTCTTCCCCTGGCTGCTGGCACCAGTTTTCCTCCGGCGCCTGGAACCCAGACCTTTGCTCTTCGCCAGGAGGGGCCAGTGCAGCGGGCTTCGCTCTTCGCTTGCTGCTTGGGCCCTGGGGGCAGGGCCGGTGCAGCGGGCTTAGCGCTTAGCTCTTTGCTCCCAGATCGGGCCCCGGGGGCAGGGCCAGGGCCGGCGCAGCGGGCTTAGTGCTTAGCTCTTTGCTCGCCGCTCAGGCCCCATGGGCGGGGCTGACACAACAGGCTCCCCTCTTCGCTTGCCATGCCGGCCTTTGCTTGCTGCTCCTTCCCGGGGCCAGCAGGCTTCGCTCCGTCGCTTGGCGCCTACATATGCAAATTAGCTGCCATCTTTGTTGGCAGTTAATTTGCATATCGTGCTGATTAGCCAATGGGAAGCATAGCGAAGGTACGGGCAATCACCATGTTTGTCTATTATTAGATTAGATTTTAGTGTTTTTTCTTTATTTATTAAAGCACCTTCAGCCCTAAGACAGCAACTAGCCTTTGTTTTTTGAGAATTAGATATTTCGGTTTCTTTGGATGGATGACTCCTGTCAAATCTGATTTTAAACCTAAATATGGAAGAGAAACTTCCACAGTGCATGATCTGAAAAATGAATAAGGTCAAACATTCACCTTTTATGCATATTAACAGCCCTTGCTATCATTAATCATAAATTGTCTAATGTTGGGGAAAGCATAGAGACATTTTGTATGGCTTTCAAGTAAAATTCAATATGTAGGTTATGATGTACAGACCTTAAATTACTTGTATTTACAAGAGTTTATTTTTTCTTTTTTTAAAATATATTTTACTGATTTTTTTTTTATAGAGAGGAAGGGAGAGAGATAGTTAGAAACATCGATGAGAGAGAAACATTGATCAGCTGCCTTTTGCACATCTCCTACTGGGGATGTGCCCGCAACCCTGGTACATGCTCTTGACCGGAATTGAACCCAGGGCCCTTCAGTCCGCAGGCCGACTCTCTATCCACTGAGCCAAACCAGTTTCGGCAAGAGTTTATTTTTTCTATCTGTGGTGTTATGCTTCATATTTCTCTAGTGTCCTTGATTTTTTCTTTTTTGATTTTTGGTTTTCCTAGTAAGTTTTTATATTGAGATTTTGGGGTTGTAGTTTTTCCCGAGACTTCAATTCTCTTCTAGCTGCAGTAAAGGTATTGATTTTCAGTTTATTAGGCCTTTCTCTTCTATATTTTAACCATTTAGTTTTGAGAATTTTACATTTTATTCTAGATAAATTTTCTAGTCCTTTGTTGGATATGTAGTTTGCAAATATTTTCTTCTAGTCAATAGTGTGTCAAGACCCTTTTAAAAGGGTCTTACATAGAGAAAATATTTTAAATTTTTATGAAGCCCAATTCTTTCATTATGGACCATACTTTTACATAAAACCTAAAAGTTTGTTGCTTAGTCCTAGTTCCCAAGAAGTTTCTCCTATTTTTTAAAAGTTTTATATTTGATATGTAAATGTATGCTCTGCTTTGAGTAAATTTTTGTGTAAGGTTTGAAGTGTAGCTGGAGGTTTATTTTTGTCTCAGTAGATATTCAATTCTCCACTACCATTTGTTTACCTCTTTATTCAGTTGCCTCACACATTTGTCAAAAGAATGTTGGATATATTAAGTGGGCTTATTTTTCTGTGTTCTCTTTCTGTTCAATTGATCTATGTGTCTATTCCTCTGCCAGTGCCCCATGATTTTGATTATTGTAGGTATATATTAGGTCTTGAAATTGGAGAGACTGATGCCTCCTACTTTATTCTTCTTTTCCCCAAATGCTTTAGCTATTCTAGTTTCTGTACCTTTTCATACAAATTTTAGAATAAGCATATCTACAAAAATGTATTTTCAGAGTTTTATAAAAGCATGAATTAACATTTTTATTATGTTGAATATTAAAATCCATGAACAAAGTATATCTCTTAGATCTTTTATTTTTTCATGTGGGTTTTGTGGGTTTTAGCATATAAGTTATATAATTGCTTTTTATATTTCTGTCTCAGTACATTGTATTTTAAGTGATTTTAAATGGTACTGCACTTTAAATTTCAGCTTTCACATGTTTCATGTGAATATATAGAAATACAATTGAGTTTTATATGTTTATCTTTCTTATATGATGAAATGTTGCTGAACTCATATTAGTTCTAAGAGATTTTTTTTATAGATTTCTTGGGATTTTCTAAGTAGACCATCATGTATGTCATCGGCAAATAGGGAAGTTTTCTTTCTCTCTGACCTACATGCCTTTATTTCCTTTCTTGCACTGGCTAGAACTTCCAATATTATGTTGAAGAAGAGTATTCTTCACTGCCTCCACCTTTATTGAGTTATAATAGATAAAAAAATGAATGTCTTTAAATTAGACAGTTTGTTTTTCTTTTAAAAATATTTTTATTGATTTCAGAGAGGAAGGGCAAGGGAGAGAGAGATAGAAACATCAACGATGAGAGAGAATCATTGATCAGCTGCCTCTTGCATGGCCTACACTAGGGACTGAGCCCAAAACCCAGGCATGTGCCCCAACTGGGAATCGAACCATGACCTCCTGGTTTATAGGTCAATGCTTAACCACTGAGCAACACTGGCAGGGTCTGGTTTTCTTTTTTTATTGTCTTTATCTGATTTTGCTCTCAGGTAATCTTATCTTCATAAAAGGAATTAGGAAGTTTTCTCTAGTGTTTCTGGAAAAGATTGTTAGAATTGCTAATTGTTCTTTAAATGTTTGCTAGAATTCTCTAGTGATGAAACCATTTGAGCCTGCAGATTTATTTCTTTTATGAAATTTAAAAATTATTAATTTTGCTTAATTGTTTCAGCACTAATCAATCTATTTCAGATTTGGAGAGATGGTCTAATCTCTCCTTTTTGATGAACTAGCCCTTTTTATTTAATTTGTCACATATACTTGTGTAGAATTGTTATCATCATGTTCAAGCTTGTATGATCAGTCATTCCTTATTTTATTCTTACTATTGGTAAATTATCTTTTCTTTTTTTCTTGTCTGTCTTGCTGAAGATTTTTCAATTTCATTGAAATTTTCAGTGAAACTGCCTTTTATTTCATTGATTTTTCTCTGTTGCTTTTCTGTTTTTAATCTCATTTATTTCTGCTCTTTATTTTTTCTTTTGTCTACTTGGTTTGAGTTTATTTTGCTCTTATTATTCTAAGCTCTTGAGGTGGGAACTTAGTTACTGATTTGAAACTTTTTCTCTTTTCTAATGTAAGTATTTAGTGCTATAAATTCTCTTTAGGCATTGTTTTAGCTGTGTTCCAAATTTTGATTTATTATATTTATAGTGTCATTCACTTCAATGTATTTTTTTAAATTTTCTTGTGATGCCTTCTTAGTTTCATTGGTTAGAAGTGTGTTGCTTAGTTCCAAGTATTTGGAGATTTCTCTTATGCTTTTTAAAAAATTGATATCTAGCTTGATTCTATTGTCTTTAGAGAACACATTTTACATGACTTGAATTATTTAAAACTAGAGGCCTGGTGCACGAAATTTGTGCATAGGTAGGGTCCCTAGGCCTAGCTGGCAATCAGGGCCTACCAGGCTGTCTCACCCAGTCCCGATTGGCAGCCAGCTACCGGATGGGGCCTGCCAGACGGGGCCAAAAGAATGGGGGAGGGACTGTGGGAGGTTTGCTGGCCAGGGGGAGGGACTGGAGGAGGTTGGCTGGCCATGGGAGGTTGGCTGTGGGAGCATTGAGCATTTGCCCCCTGGTGGTCAGTGCGTGTCATAGTGACTGGCCAACCGATCGTTCTGGTCGTTTAGTAGTATCGGTTGCTTAGGCTTTTATATATATAGATTTGTTGAGGTTTGCCTTTTAGATCAGGATGTGGTCTATCTTGGTATATGTTTGTGGATGCTAGAAAAGAATACCTATTTCTCCCTAGTTGATCAGATTATTCTATAAAGGTTGATTAATTCCTGTTGGTCAGTAACTAGTGATTTATTCTTGCTTCCCACATGGCCTTCACTAACACAATTCTGTCATTCAGAAATTAAATATTCTATGAATTTTTTAAACTTCATTTTTATTATTGACACTATTACAGATGTCCTCATTCCAACTCCCTGCCCTTGCTCACCTCAACCCAGCCCCCACACTCCCCTTTCCTCTG